TCTCTCTCTCTCTCTCTCTCTCTCTCTCTCTCTCTCTCTCTCTCTCTCTCTCTCTCTCTCTCTCTCTCTCTCTCTCTCTCTCTCTCTTTGTTTGTTTGTTTGTTTGTTTGTTTGTTTGTTTGTTTTTACAGCTACAAAATACTAGGCTCATGGGAAAAGCTACTTCTGTCCTGAGGAAGGCAAACTGGTTTTTCAAATTTCTATACCATTTGCAAATGAGTTGAAAAAACTTTGAAATGGAAGGTTGACTAAAAGCACTCCCAAGGCTTGTCCAGAATCTGCAATTTTGCCCATCTATCCTCGCAATCTATTGTCGAGAATGAACAATCCAAGCTAAGCCTTGTCCAAAGTGGATTTCCTTGAGTTACGGGGAAGTGGATCCACTCCCCAACCGCGGGGACGACCTGAATGTTAATCCTGAGAAGCACCTTCCTCACTTGCACGCCAGATTGCCCAACTGTTTTCCCTTTCTGTTTTTTGTTTTTTAATCAGAACCTTTTTTCCTTTTCAGAAGAGCAATGACGATTCAACTTCCAGTTTGTAATTCTTGATATGTGAGGCACAAGGCCTCACAAAGCCCTACCAGGCCCCTATTTGCAACAGGTCGACCGCCCTAAGTGAAGGCAGGCTCGGCAGACAACAAGAGGCCTATTTTGGACTACTTCGCAACTGGGGTAAAAATTCAGGCAGTTGCGCAGCGCCAGTTGGTTGAAGACGCCCAGGCCCTGGCCTCCTTTATCAAATGTATCTAAGTCAGGCCCTGGGCGAGATACGCAGCATGGACCCAACTCAGACTGTGGGCAGTTGGGCACCGGTAACTGTCGGTGGCTGGCCCTGGGCCTGATTCGTTTGGACTAAGGCTCAGCCTCCCTGGGCCTACCGGAAGCTTCGAGGCTGGGGCCCAGTACCGCAGCACAGCACGCAGCAGCAGGCCACTTCGATATAGGGAAGGGCCTGCCCACGCACTGGACATTCGGGCACTGGCTGCTTTGTGCGCAAGCACTGCTGTGCTATCGCTGGTCAGGCTCACGCGCTCACGGGCGAGCTGAAAGGAGCAGGCAGCCATAGCCGAGCTGCGCTGCTGTATGCTGGATGGGGCGCATGGTGGTCCTTGGGTGCAAGTGACATCTGTGAGTTGGGGAACGAGGTTGTGAGTGATACGAGAGACATACCTGGTGCTTGAGGCGTGCGGCATTGGCCGAGATCTGCTCATACTTGGGAAGCTGTTGACGGCATCAGCGGCATTGTAGTCTAGACTAGATAGGATCTGCCATTCATAGTCTGGGCACCGAGTGCCAGATAGGATATCAACATTTGTTCTTCATTGATGATGATGAGACTATTCCAGCATTGTCAATTATGACCTTTTGCTGTGCTCTTATTTGGTGAAACTCGTGATGCAATTCTGTTATTGGTTCGAGGTCACGACTATCTAGTCTCATGTGTATGATGCTGTTTTGATTTCTGAAGTTCGCTATCACTCATCTTCCTTGCAATTTGGTATCAGAGCTGTGGTTCGGTGCACTAATCTGGCGCTTGTCTTCTGCCTAATGCGGTACATGCACTCGGTGTGTGCGGTGAGCGACCGTGCCGTGGGACATGTGTAGTGAGGAGGGCGAAGATAAGTAGGCGACCCAGGTGGAGAGGGGTATCGCCAGGAAGGCTATGTGGTGTAATATTAGGTGTTCGCAGTGTGATGAGAACTATCCGATGTGTGATTGATGCTGAGGTGGAACGGTGGTGCAATGCTGGTTGTGCCGAAGCAGCGATTGGTCATCACAATCAACATCGGGTCATCTGGTGAGAATATATGTGGTTGGGGGCAGCTATTTTGAGGTACGTAGCACCTAGCCTTATCTACCCTCTTCGACACTTCTTACCATGAGGATGTGTGTTTTGTCTTGAGAGTCCTCTCATGTGAGGAGTCGTGTGCGCTCAATCTTGAGAGTCGTCAGCCTTCACGTGGAGCATCTAGAAGGAGAGGGCGGAGCTATCTGAAGGGCCCTGGACGAAGCACTGGGTCACGGTCACCATGCCAACCCACCGGGAGTAAAGCATGCATGCTTTGCTGCTTTGTCCTTTGTCTGCTCGCTGCACTGTAGAGGGGTTCTGAAGGGTAGGCCAGCCCTATGAGACAGACGAGACCGGGCGTCTATAAATAAGCACCGGCGGGGTACCTTCCATTAGCTGTGATCGTCGTCTTGTTTGCGACGTTAAAGAATTCCTGAGGACTTTGGGGCTGTCCATATAAACGCCTCCTGATCAGCCAATTGGTCGATGTAAGGCTCGCTACACACGAAGATAAAGACTGTGCAGGGCTGGCCAGCTCAGCAGTACTCGGGGCACAGGGGTGGGTCGTGTGCACACCTTTAGACATGCACGCTGTCCGGATTGCTCAGGGACGCTGCCGATAAGAGACATTCAAGAAGAACTGAGGGAGGGGTAGATACCAGGTGATAAGTTTGGGCAAGATTCCATTCTGCAAACAGACCCAACAAGCGATTCTATTTTTATTTTTGATTAGTTAGATGTACAGCCATTGACATCTGACAGACAGCATAGTTTAGAACTGTTGTTTGTTCATTGTTCTTTCTGTTTGCAAACTAGTCAAAGTCAAAGTAGTTCGTTTGTAGGAATCTGAACTTACCTGTTGGACCCGAATGGATAGTCTTTGACATAGCCGCCGATTATTTATTTTTATTTTATTATAAATCGGTCTGTACATCATGCTGCAGTAGGCATCAAGAGTGTCCTAGTGCAGACACTGTACAGTCCTGTAGCCTATGAGTGACAGGGAGGTCCCACAACCAGACGACGGGATCTTGCGATCGGCTAGACGCCCGGTAGCCCACTTGGCATTAGGTCTAGAGGGTGACAGGTTACTGTTCTGCCAGCTTAGGGAGAGGCAGCAGCAGCAGAGGAGAGCTAGGGCAGCAGAGGCAAGCGAAGCCGCAGCTTCAACAACCATGGCAACTTCTGCGAAGCAGGGTTCCCAGGCCAGCAGTTCAGGAACCGTAGGCTCAACCGTCGCACAGACCATTAGTCAGTCCACTAGCATCATGGCAAGCCAGCCGTTAGTGATGACTCCCGAGGAGGTCGCCATGCAGCGAGCTGCTGATCGCGAGGCACCGCTACAGCAGGCTTTAGCAGAGATTAAGGTAGAAAAAGAAAGAATGATTAGAAGAAGAGCTAGGTTGCAGCGGGGACAAGCGGACATTAGCGAGTTAGAGGAGATGGACCCAGCGGAGTTGGATGATGAAGTGAGGACCCTGAGGTTGGTCTTGCTAGGTGTAGCAGAGATGCAAGATCACCAGACGACGATCTTACAGGACATCCAACAGAGTCTGGCCGTGTTGGTCGGACGAGCGCAGGCGGCACCATCGCTGTTCGGGCCTGGTGCCTGGCCCGTTGTACATCCTCCTCCTTTTGTCCCACCGGTGACTGGGGTATCCCCATATACCTAAAAAAATTGTAAACCAAAGGTAAAAACTTAAAAACGCCCCAGCATCGGTTCAACCCGTTTCCCTGGGTATGCCTTTAACAGGTGGGTTCTCAACAGGTCCTTGTGTACAGGTTCCTGTACAGACAGTGTTCTCCCAACCTGCGTCGCAGGTTGCCGTAAGCGGGCAGCCTACCGTCTCGCAGCCTGCACAGCCACAGGGAACACAACCCCAACAGCAGCTAGTGCAGCCTGCGCCACAGGGTCCACAGCCCGGATTGGTGCAGGTACCGGGACAAAGTCAATGGGTTCCAAAGATGGCCATCGCCGCTCTTAAACCCTTTACAGGGGATAAGAGGGGCGAAGACCTCGACACATGGTTGAGGGCAGTGCCAGTCTATGTCAAGTGAAAACTTACCTTGCCGCACGAGGAAGCGCTTGTGGCTGCCTCCTATCTCTAGAGGGGAGTGCAGCAAGATGGTTGAGTGGTTAAGTGCAGCTCCAGGGTTACGGTCATGACTTTCGCGCTTGGGCGGTCACCCAGAAACTGGATGACTTTCTCAAGTTGGTGGAAGACAGGTGGCATGATCCTCGGGAGGCCCAAAAGGCTACTGACACGATCCTGACACTGCATACGAGGCAGTTTAAGTCAATAAGAGAGACCACTGACGTTGTAGAGCGTCTGATCTGTGTCCCTGGGGTTCGCTATGACCCCCAGGTTTTACTCACCTCCTACATGAGATGCTTTCATATGCCTATCAGGAATCAATTGCCAGGTGAGGCCAACATCAACATGCACAATTTTTCCTCGTTTAGCAAGAAGGACCTAGACCTGGAAGCAAAGATAGGGCATGGACAGACACCCACAACGGACGGTAGGACAAAGTCACTGCCTCCCAACTGGAAAGCAAAGGGACGCATCATGTTCGTCGACAGTGATGGTTCCACCATCAAATTAGACGACAACTTCCAGTCAGGAGTGGGTTCAGAGGCCGGCAGTGTAGAAGCTTCAGGGGGTGGAGTAGTCGTTGTCGTAGCTCAAAAAGGTAAGGCGACCGGTAGACGCCGTGCTGATTCCCGATCTAGGAGTCAAGTAGACCCCAATGCTCCTCCATGGGAGAAAGCGGGTCTAAGTGAGGACGTGTGGAGAGATCGGTACACGCGACAGGCTTGTATCCATTGTGGCCAATATGGCCATAACCAGTTCAAGTGTCAAAATAAGAAGGTGACCGAAAAGATCCCGCCTACAATGGGGAAGGCGTTGGGATCCTCCGCTCCCGTTGGCAGCAATGTGGCCAACAGTTCTGGCACTGCTCCGAGAAACGCGTCGGGCCAGTAGGAATAGTAGTTGTTCCTGCTAGGGTCGAGGTGGTGGACACACCCTCACCATCTCGAGAGATGGCCCAAGCTACTGACTCCATCGTCGTCCCGCAAACGCATTCTGACCCATCGAGCCTTTGTTCGATGAATGTGTCTGAATCCTTAGAGGAGCTAGAGGAGGAGTGGTATAGATCAGACCCACTAGCTTCTTGGACAGCATTGGCTAAAGCCCCTACGGGAGAGATGTTTGTCGGCGAGGTAGTCATCGGCGGCCTCAAGGTAGGGGCCTATTATGACAATTGCTCGACAAGGAACTTCATCAGTCGCGCGTGCATTGAGAGGTTGCGCTTACAGGGGCAAGTGCAGCGCCTGAGTCAACCTGTGGAGTTGACCTGTGCCAACAAACAGCGCATGGTAGTTAATGACTACCTTCAGAATGTTGAGTGTTGTTTCCCTTACGCAGGAGGGGAACTTAGACATCATGTTTCGTTCCTAGTGAGCGATGATCTCCCCATGGATATCTTGTTAGGTATGTACTACCTCTCCGTAGCACAGCCCCAGTTTGACTGGGACCGAAAAGTGGTCAAACACACTTTGCTAGGTGGAGGGACCTCCATATTACGTAAGTTCAAAGCTAGTAGTCTGATTGAGTCCTACGGATGCATGTGTGCGGCCGCGTTCTATAATTATCATAGGCAAAATCCGGAGGAGGGTATGTATCTAGTTTATGTCTCTGCAGCAGACGAGCCGGTGAAAATGCCGTCGGCAATAGAGGGAGTACTTGCCAAATACCCTGATCTATTTGAAGAGCCAACAGGGGTTGTTGAGAGGGAGGTCGTCCACGTGATAGAAATTATCCCAGGGTCTAGCATCCCAAAGGGTAGGATCTATCGGATGTCTCCAGGCGAGCTTGATGAGCTTCGCAGACAACTCAAGGAACTCGTAGAGAAGGGTTGGATCCGGCCTAGTGTCTCTCCTTATGGTTCTCCAGTCTTATTTGTACCAAAGAAGGGAGGCACTCTAAGGATGTGCATTGACTATAGGGGCCTCAATGCCATCACTGTTAAGAACCGAGAGCCCCTACCGCTAATCGACGACTTGTTAGATCGAGTGCAAGGGTGTCGGTACTTCAGTAAAATAGATCTGAAGTCCGGGTACCATCAGATTGCTATACGGCCCGAGGATCAGCACAAAACCACATTTCATACCAGGTACGGTCTGTACGAGTTTGTGGTGATGCCTTTCGGCCTTTGCAATGCTCTTGGCACCTTTCAGCATGTGATGAATCGGATATTTCATGACTACTTGGACAAGTTTGTCATCGTGTACCTCGATGACATATTTATCTATAGTAGGACTGTTGAAGAGCACGTAGCTCATTTGGACAAAGTCCTTAGTCTCCTTCGACAACACAAGTTCAAGATCAATCGTGAGAAGTGCGAGTTTGGCCGCACCCGTATCTTGTACTTGGGTCATGAGATTTACGCGGAGGGATTGAAGCCCGATAACGCGAAGGTGGCCAGCATTCTTGACTGGCCGCGTTCTCAGTTTGTGACTGAGATGAGGTTTTTCTTAGGGATGACCGACTACTACCGCAAAGTTGTTAAGAACTATAGCATGGTGGCCGCCTCTTTGACTGACCTGACCCGCCTTGACACCCCGTGGGAGTGGACAAACTGGTGCGGGGCTGCGTTCAGACATATGAACCATGCGTTAACGCATCATGAGGTCTTGAAACTTCCTGATCCTAACAAACCGTTCATAGTAACCACGGATGCCAGCCAATATGGCATTGGTGTTGTGCTAGCGCATCACGAGGGGCCAAAGTTGAGGTCAGTCGAGTACATGTCCAAAAAGATGCTCTCTCAGAAGTTGGCTAAGTCCACATATGAGAAGGAGCTCTACTCGATTTACAAGGCACTGACCCATTGGAGACATTATCTCCTTGGGAGGTTCTCCATCGTTAGGACTGATCATCGGACCCTGAAGTGGATGAGAACTCAGTCTGTGCGCTTTGATTCCTTAAAGCGCTGAATCGAAGTCATTGAACAATATGACTTCGAACCCCAGTATCTGAAGGGGGAGTACAACAAAGTTGTTGATGCCTTATCACGTAGGCTTGACTTCTCTGGTGCATTGATCACTGAGTTCGGGCTTGCGGACGATGTCACTCGTTCTATGGTGGAGGCCTATCGTGAGGATCCGTTTATGTCTGAGATCATTCGCAGACTCGACCCGAAGGACAAAGTAACTTCTGTCGGGTCTGAGTTGGTCAACGACTTGTTGTTCCTTGAGAAGGCTGGGAATAAACGTTTGTGTGCCTAATAGGGAGTCTTTGCACAATTTATTTTTAGGAGAGTGTCATGACGCCACCGGCCATTTTGTTTTCAAGAAGACTGCAGCTAATTTGTTGCAGCGGTTCTGGTGGCCCACGATGATGAAAGACGTTAAGCTGTACGTGGAGACTTGTCAGGTCTGTCAAAGAGACAAGCCACGGACATAGGCTCCTCTTGGGCTTCTGAAGCCCCTTCCAATTCCGGAAAGGCCTGGTGAAAGCTTGTCCATGGATTTCATGGATACGTTGGTCACCAGCAAGAGTGGAATGCGCTACGTCTACGTCATTGTGGATAGGTTTAGTAAGTACGCTAGGTTAGTCGCAATGCCTGCAACAGCTAAAACTGAGTATGTGATCAAGTTGTTCAAGGAGAACTGGGTCAGAGATTTTGGACTGCCTCAGTCTATAATTAGTGACCGGGATGTGCGATTCACCAGTGAACTGTGGAAAGCTGCAGCTGCAGAACAGGGCACGCAATTGCAAATGACATCAGGCAATCACCCAGAGGCGAATGCGCAGGCAGAGCAGTTGAACCGCGCTGTACAGCACCTGCTTAGGCATTACACCACGCCAAATCAGGTAGACTGGGATGAGAAACTCGCTAGCCTATACAACAACGTTGTGCACAGCGCTATGGGAGTGAGCCCGAACAGCCTGCTATTGACTTTCAAGCCTAGACTGCCTATGGATTTCCAACTACCTGAGAATCAGCCATCCGCTGCACCAGGAACCTTAGAGTTTGCCTATCGGTATGAGCACTTGATGCAGCAGGTTGTTGAGCAAATGCATAAAGCACAGGCGGCGATGATAGAGTCAGAGAACAAACAACGCCGCCCATCTACATTTCAGGTAGGAGAAAGAGTCTGGGTAAAGTCCTCAGAACTGGGACAGGAGCACGGAATCTCCCGCAAGCTCATGCCACAATACTTTGGACCATAAGAGGTTCTAGATGTCGTTGGGGATGAACTGGATGGCCCTTCTTATGTCATTCGCATCCCTGGTCACTTACCCTGTTTTCCACGCCTCTAAGCTTGCACCTTTTAAAGAAACATATCAGTTTCCCTCTCGTTGCTCGATGCTGCCCCCAACCATGAATGGAGAGGTCGACATCGATGACATTGTTGACCATCGGGAAATGCCAGTTCCAAGACCGACAGGCAGGGGACGTCCTCCCAAACCGAAGCTGCAGTACAGGGTTCGGTTCAGACATCACACTTATCCAAAGGAGGACCGATGGTTTACCAGGGAGGAACTGATGCAGGCCGCTCCTCAGGCTGTGGCCCAATATGAAAAGTCTCTGCAGAAGGGAAAGCGCCAGATTATCGAGGACTGAACTTCTCAGAGGACTAGCAAAGTATGGAGAAGGGAATGTGAGGCACAAGGCCTCACAAAGCCCTACCGGGCCCCTATTTGCAACAGGTCGACCGCCCTAAGTGAAGGCAGGCTCGACAAACGACAAGAGGCCTATTTTGGACTACTTCGCAACTAGGGTAAAAATTCAGGCAGTTGCGCAGCACCAGTTGGTTGAAGGCGCCCAGGCCCTGGCCTCCTTTATCAGATGTATCTAAGTCAGGCCCTGGGGGAGATACGCAGCATGGACCCAACTCAGACTGTGGGCAGTTGGGCACGGGTAACTGTCGGTGGCCCTGGGACCTGATTCGTTTGGACTAAGGCTCAACCTCCCTGGGCCTACCGGAAGCTTCGAGGTCGGGGCCCAGTACTGCAGCACAGCATCCAGCAACACGCCACTTCGATATAGGGAAGGGCCTGCCACGCACTGGACATTCGGGCACTGGCTGCTTTGTGCGCAAGCGCTGCTGCGCTATCGCTGGCCAGGCTCACGCGCTCACGGGCGAGCTGGAAGGAGCAGGCAGCCATAGCCGAGCTGCACTGCTRTATGCTAGATGGGGCGCATGGTGGTCCTTGGGTGCAAGTGGCATTTGTGAGTTGGGGAACGAGGTTGTGAGTGATACGAGAGACATACCTGGTGCTTGAGGCGTGCGGCATTGGCCGAGATCTACTCGTACTTGGGAAGCTGTTGACATCATCAGCGCCATTGTAGTCTAGGCTAGATAGGATCTGCCATTCGTAGTCTGGGCGCCGAGCGCCAGATAGGATATCAACATTGGTTCTTCGTTGATGATGATGA